CACACTGGCCAAGCTGCTCGAGGGACGCACAAAGCCACGGCTACAACACGACCTGACGGCCAGCCTGATGCGCATCGAAGCAGACACCCTGCTGGACGAGTTCGGCGAGGAGTCAAGAGACCGCGCACGGCTGAGGAGCTGTCGAGGCCCAGGAGCTAGCGGCTGGCTGACGACGGTCCCGGCACACCCGGGCCTGCGCTTCATCAACGAGGATTTCGTCACCTGCTGCCGTCTGAGGATTGGCGCCACCCAACACCCTTCACTCGCACCGGACCCTTGCTCGTGCGGCACCCAGCTGGACCCCTACGGCGATCACCTCCTCTGCTGCGGCACAGGCAACGAGCGCATCTGGCGGCACGACCTGCTGTGCGAGGAGTGGCGGCGCATCATCAGGAGCGTCCAGATCGCCGTCGACCGAGAGGTCAACCTGGCGCGTCTGGGCGTCTACCCGGCCACCACCGATCCAGACGGCAAACGGATCGACCTCTACTGGGTGGAGGAGGGAAAAGGCAGGCTCGGCGACGTCACCATCGCCCACCCCACACGCCCCGACCCCTTCACCAACAGACACCACGCGGCCACCAACAGGCAGAACGGAGCAGAAGACGGCAAGGCGCTGTGCAACGCGGCCGACAGGAAGCACAGCAAATACGGCACAGAGGCGAGAGCAAGCAACTTTACTATCGTCCCACTGTCGGCGGAGAGCTACGGACGGTGGGGGGAGGAGGCGGCTGCCCTTCTCAACCGTATGGCCCGGCACATGCGGCCACCTGTCTATATGGAGGAGGGCGATGTGGAGTTTTTTCGCGAGACAGCAGTGGAGAGGTAGTGGGCTCGACTTAGTGTGCTGCTGCGGAAGGGCAACGCACACATGGTGCGGAGCAGAGCGTGGCGCGCAAGCAGGTGGAATGGGCAGGAGAGGGCGGGTTTTGCTGAGGGGCTGTTGCTAGAGCGGGGGCCTTTCCACTCTCGTTGATTGCAGGGGGTGGGTGGGTGGGCGTGCATGGGTAGGTAGCGAATGCTTTGATCGTTGCTGTCAATAGTTTAGATGCGAACATGTAATCGACCGTCCCGGCGCATGGACACACGGACAATCTTACCCTTAACCACCACCACCACCATGTCAGTAGCTTGCATTTCCTATGCTCAATGGACTTCTCCTATTGTTTACGAACAAAACTCCAAAGATCAGCAAACAGTACCATCGCCTGCTGGCACATTCAGCACATGTAAAGTACGCAGCTTGGATGGATATGTCGGTAGCTTGCATCTGTTTTGGTTGGACTTCTGGTATTGTAAATCCATCCGAGCAAAGCATTTGCAGGCGAGACGCAAACAAGCAACGTGGGCAAACAAAAAAGAAGAAAGAACTTGAAAAATAGAAAGAAAACCCCACACAGATCCTAGACATTTGAGGATCGCCCCAAGTCACAGTCGGGCGACTCCCAGGTGTTGTCTTCCCCGAGTAGATCACTGCACGGATTGACGCACGTGTCGCGCTCGACAACGTCGGGAAGTTGCAGGTCCTTGTCAGGGTGTTTTTCCTTGTAGAAGAGGCCGTAGCCGTAGGGGAAGAGCGGCCGCTGGCCGTCGCCCTTGTGGACGTTGAAGTGACATCGGTGGGAAGGCCATGACATGGACAGACGGCCTGTGAAGTCCACGTCTCCAAAAAGAAGGTCGGTGAGGCCACGGCCGGCCTGCTTGCACGGCAGAAATCCGGCGATGAAGGCGTCTGAGAGATCTATTCCTGCGTTGACGTACAGCGGTCTGCCTGAGTACAAAATAGTAATTATTGGGGTCGTGGGTGCGTTGTCGCGTGCATGTTTCAGGCGGATCAAGTCCTCTGGGTACGTATGCCTGCCGGATCTGGACCTGTGCCACATGCAATTCAGAATACGACTAATCAACCGCTACATGGCGAAAAATGTGTGTACTGGTTTCGATGGTGCATGAGACTTTCCCCATCGTCCAAGTCTCCATAGACCTCGGCGTAAGGGTTTCCTCGTCGTCAACCACCGTGTAGTTATTACTGTTGCTGTGCTCCTTAAGGGCCTCCAAGAGGCTTGCGGAATTGCCAACATTATCAAAAACTTCGTCGATGACTGGAAGGGGGGAATGACAGCAAGCAGAGAGAACCGTGGTTCAGGACAGACTCTTTGCTCATATGCGTTTTGAGCTAACCCTGTCCCTGCCACCCCATGGTCCAGCCCCCACACGCGAGATAGGTCCATCGCGCCTTGCCCATTACCAACACCCTCATGCCAGCCCGTGGCTTCAGCGGCAACACGCCGCCGTTGTTCTGCTCAAGTGCCACGTACCGAAACACCTAAGACATGCTCTATGATCTCTTTCATCTCACCTTGAGCAGCACCGCCGACTTCTGTACGGCTTCCCTGGCCATGGCCGTGTGCTCTGGGCTGCCGATGATTGTCATGTTGACGTGGCCTATTCTGTCTAGTGCGTTGACGCGAGGTCCGATCATGCGTAGCCGGGCCTTAAGACGCAATACACGTCTGGCGGCGTCGTTGATGCGCGACTGCGGTACGGTGCCATTTCTGACAGCCTGGAGAGTGTTCTCGATAAACTTGGAGTAGTGATCGCCACCCACCGTGGAGAGGAGAAACATGTCAATCTGATAAGGTGTCAAGTGAGGGAGTTACAACGAGTGCGTGTGTGAGACAGGCGTATGTATGTCGTACGCCCGCGTTGATGCCTTGTGGGCAGCTGTCCAATGTGCACGAAGGTATGTCAGTGTGCGCGTTCCAGTCGCTCATGACAACCCCATCGAAGCCGAAGTGGCCCTTGAGGATCTCCGTCAGGTAGTGGTAGTGCTGGTGCATCTCTATGCCGTTGATCTCGTTGAATGAAGGCATCGTGCTCATCACCTCTATCAGGCAGGCAGGCAAGCAGAGGCAGGCACATAGGCTTTGGCCAAACAGTACTTGTGTACATACTCGCTTTCAAGCACCCTATGAAGGGTCTGAAGTGGACTCGGATCAATTCGTCCTCCCCTATTTCGGTATCCCCGTCGACTACCCCGCCGAGTGTCCCTCCGTCACCCAGGAAATGCTTGCACATAGCTGCCACACCAGTGCCGGTTCCCGCGCCCTCTTGCAGACCGTCTATGTACGCCTGAGCCATCGGTTATGTGTAGAGACTTTGCGTGCGCTTTCGACCGTATATCTGCACCTGAACAAGGTCAGCCGTTACGGTGCCGTTCTCCGAGAAGCTCTCATAAGTTCTACCCCACCTGTACTCAGTGGCACCGCGGTGACGGGGGCCAAAATCCACGCGAAGCCCACCGCGCGGAGCTCCAGAGCAGTCACACGACCAAAAAGCACGCGGATAGAGACTGTGATCCACGCATCTCTGTGTTTCTCGCTGCCTATACCGATTCGTCGCATGAGGTCTGGATCGTTGGCGCATCCCAGGCCGATGTTATGTGGAAAGATGGTGGCCTTGGGGATGGCGTTCAGCCCGTGGACAGCATGTACAGCAGTGATGGACGGAATGCCCAAGCGACGTCCCTCCTTGCGTCGCATCGAGTGCTGGTAATGGTTCTTTGTCGTTTGTTGAACGATCTGGGCATCTTCTACTTTAAGCGGCCACAGCACGTTGACATTGTACTTCTCAATTGAGCTAGGACCCTCGCCGACAGGGTCCGTGCTGATGACCATCTGGCTGATCTTTTTCAAGTAATGCATCTTCGCCAACAGACCATCGATGTAGTCCTCCATGGGGGCGCTCTTCAATGACTCGGCCACAAGGCCTCTCACTTTGGGCGGCTCGGGCCACAGGGCACACGACCTAGATCCACACAATCGATGCACACGTGTATCAGCATGTACTCACCTTGGCCCACACAGTTGGTTTGGGGTGAGGCCGGTGGTCTTTTTCTCTTCGGTTGCATGCAGAGTGCATAGCAGTGTGCTGTAGTCGTAGCTGAAAACAATGCAGGCCTCGTATTGCTGACAGAGGGCCTGGGCACCTGAATGGCGTCGCAACAGATCCCAGACTGATAACATCGATAGGAGTGGCACAATAGTGGCACCCCCGAGCGATACTGCCATCCACAAAACAGAGCATAATCACACTGTTATCTTTCGAAAGGTTCCTGATGTCACATACCAGCCCCCGATCAGCTCTTCTGTCCGCCTTCTGTGCTTTGCTGTCCGTCCGAGGTGCAATATTTGGGCCCTGATGTAGCGAAATTGCTCTCTTGCTTATCATGTTGAACGTCGGTCAGCTTGTCGGTGAGGAGGAAGCACCCCTGGTCGTACGAGAATGTGAACGCCTCGCATTCTTCCCAAGCCCAGCACTTCATCTGGCAGTGACGGGGGGTGGCGATGCCCATCATGGCGTCAGTGGAGATATTGACTTTGGGTGATACAAAAAACACCCCTCGCTCGTAACAACCGGCTGAATGACGAGTGCACCAAGTCGTTAGAGGTGTCTCTTCTCCGTTGCCTCCCGCTTACATCCTTCATCGTCGACATAGTCAGAGGTGACGGGGCTGCGGACCACTTGCGTCTCCGACCAGTCGGCAAACAGAAGAAGTACAATAGTGTACACTAGTCCCGTCATGCAATCCTGTCGGCCAATTTCTTGTTCTTATATTTGTGTGACATACGTTAACTCATAGCGCAACGGCAGGCAGAGTCTGTCGGTCTCTCATGAAACGAACTGCGTCAGCGTCGACCAACCCTCAATCATGCGACAAACATGCCAGC